GCGATTTTTTGTCTCAGTGTGAGTGTGTAATTTCGGTGTACTGTGTGTGTGCGTGGATTTTATTTAATTTTTTTTCGTGTATGTGCACTGTAAAAATAGCTGAAGAGAGGGAGAGCTAGTGCTCTCTCGAGAGAGACAACTGCGACGTCATCGTTCACGCAGTCAGTTTTTTTAAGTGGCGTTTCTTTCTTTCTTTTTTATGTGGCTGCTGATGTGCTTCTTCTTCTCCTCCTCTTTTGGCTATCTGCTTTGTGGTTAATCTTTTGTTTTGGAACTCTTTATCTACGTCTGTTCTTGTGCTTCTGTGTGTGTGTGAGTGAGGTGATCTTCTCTCCGCTGGTACTTTCCTCTCTCTTTTTGTTCTTACTTTACTTATTTTGTTTTTATTCGTACACGTAATTCCCGTAGATATCGAACTCAGCTGCTTTTTGTTTTGATACGTGAAATCCATAATCAACCTGCTATCTTGCAGGTAGAAACAGAAAATACGAGAAAAAGCCCGTTTTGTTGTCGAAAAAACCACTTGAAATGTATGCGAATATCTGGACGTTTAAAATCCCCGCCTGAAAAAGTATTAAACTTTCCATTACCCATTGAATTTACTTGTTTTGTCGCCCGAGAACATGACTAATTGCTGATTTAATTGTTCATTTGTTCAGCTTCAAGTGCTCAACTTTTGTTTTTATCGCAGTTGCTTGTCGCAATACTTAGACTGTTTCACCCCGAGTCCAATGATAACTGTATTGTTCCTTTGAAGGTGCTCAGATTCCCGTCGCGAACTTAATACAATACAAATATTGCCATTTTATTTACTGGGGAGTTCGCATTGCGCTGTAAACGCCTTGTTTTTGTTGCCAGGCACTCGCCAAATTCAGTTTCATTTGATTACTGGAAAGCTTATCAGTGGGCAGAGTTCACATACGATTGGAAAACAGAAAAGGGGGGGAATTGGGGGGTCTTCTGGGGTCCAAACAAACAAAGGCAGGCCTCCTTTTTGTTTAGTATGGGTATGGTGTCTGCTGCTCTCATTTAAATGCCTGCAAAATGCTAGGGAAAAATAACAAACAGCTCCGATTCCGCCTCGTTTCACATTGCTTCCTACTCCATTTGCAAATTGCGAATTCAGTGAATCCACTTCGCTTGGCAGTCAGCCAAACAATTTGTGTTTACCTACCGCGTTAAATTTCCCAAACGATTTGCAACTCTGGTTTCACACGCAACATAAAGCCTAATCTCAATTTAAACAGCTCAAAAGTTCAAACTAAAGTAGCACAGAAAAAGTTGTGGGTGTTACACCGATTTCAATCATTTACTTTTGGTCTCAAGCTAACCCATTTTCCATTTCAACTTTGAAGACATTTGGGTGAAGAGGCATCACAATTATACCACGGAAAAATATTTAATAATAACAACCTTTTCCTTTTCAATATCCTAATATCTTGCCCCTAATTTAAGAATCCGGTTTTCGTGCCTTTTAAAAATGCCCCTATTTATGCTTTCTTAAAAAAGCGAAACCAGTCTTCAGATAAATTTATATAATATACAACAACGACACATCTTTTCCACTCAGTTTCTTTACCACCCCTGATTTTATTATACTAATATTTTGTATTATGAATTCCGCCTAAAGTGTATAGAACGGGAATTGGGAGCAGGGCCCAATGAACTTTCGATCGCTGAAAGCAAAACACTTTTGTTAGTATGTAAATAAAATTGGACTAATCAAAGTTTGTTTAGCTGGCAATTCACACTTGTTTCATTGTCTGGTTTTTCCTTCAGTTCTTAAAGTTGCCAAATTCAACGGATCGGTGCTAAAGTGAGGCCATTTTTCCGCTTTATTTGTACACTAAGTGTGCTGCAATTGATACGTGTAATAGGCTGTTGTATCTCTTAAGTTTCAGTTCTATTATCATAGCTGGGGAATGTTGGTTCTGTTTGACTACCTTTGTCTAGGGGAACAGCTGTCAGCTGCTTTCAATGTTTTTCCCTTATTTGTTTTGATTTTGCAGTCGCGAGTGCTAATCAAATTTGTTTTAGGAAACGCACTGACAATCGCCAGACATAGTCTGTTCACTCAAAAAGGTATTCGCCTTGTATTTTAGAAATTGGGAGTCTTTTAATTAGGTTTTGTTCAAATAAAGTAGGTTTTTTATAAGGCTTACGGACTTCTTTATGGGTCGCCATGCCTTTAGAACTTAAATAAAAGAAATTTGTACTAAAAAAAACACTGAGTCTAAATTCTAAATTCCAGGGCAAATACTTTTCTGATTGTTGGAAATCCTCCGGCGCAATTGCAAGTGTTTCAGAGTCAGCCAGAGTCCCCAGTTCTCAGTTCCCAGTTCCCTTCTCTGTCTGCGTTATTCGCTGTCGTTGACCCAGTTTCTGTTCACCTTATATATTTACATATGTATATGCAAACAGATACACCACACAAACCCCACCAAAGTGGGGCATTTACAGAGTGAGGAAGTTAGTTCTGCGTCGTACTTGCCTTTATATTCCCCAGTTTCCCCAAAGTTTTCCTTTACACATACCATACATTTTGCTGAGTTTTTTCCGTTGGCCGATAAGGTCATTGTTTTTAGCTTACTCATCCCATCGCGATCTTTGCGTGATCTTCAATCTCCGACAATCAGTTTCAATTAATTGCCCGATTAGCTAGCTATACTTGAACCGCCGTATACTGTGTTCCGTATTCCAATCAATTTTCGCGACTTTCGCTTGACATTTTTCCTGGGGTAAACACTGATTTATTTAAAGGCTTTTGCTATAAATAACGCTGTCGAAATAGCCGCCTTAGCTCTTGGAAGCGGCGGTAAACTTCTCCGTATAGCTTTTTTTGGCGTAGACAAGACAACGGAGTGAATCACCCCGAGTTAACGAACCTCGATATCGGAACACTTGATTCCGTCAAGTCGGTTAAGTACCTCTTGTGGTTCCCCTGACTGTATCTTACAGTTGCTCTATAACTATCTGTGTATCTAACTGGGAGACTAGCAAATGCCGCCGTCTGGTCTCGATCAGGTAATAATTACAAACCCAGCAGCTGGCAAATATGCATTTTGCTATCTTTATGACGTCTGCAGTTCCCTATTTGCTTTTCAGATTAGAGAGCAGTGATAAATAGAGGCTGAAATAGGTGTGTCTACAACGCAATTCGTAAATCGTGCCACTTTTTTCGCAGCGGTTTGATTAAATTTATAATTTGCCGGCCCACTAATTGGAGAACCTTTGATTCCAGAGCTACACTATCAGCTACGGAGATTCCCGTTCACGTGCTACACGCTTGACTAGTTCCAGTAGAAACCCCTGCTCATGATCATCATCCCACTCTGAATTCCCATACCACTCCCCTACTTCCAATTGTTTTCAATTAAAGCACGCTTCGTTAAAAGTTTTCTAATATAGCGCATGGTTCACCAGCTGACTTGATTGCTATATGCCATAAAGCTAGACAATATATAGCGGCAATGCTATTGTATATTGTTTATAAAGAGAAATATAGACATCTCTATCTGTGAGGGGCGCTAGGTTGAATGTTAAACGGATCAGTCAGCTACAAAGTGACAGATTTTCTAAAGCGCACTCGAAATTGGATGAACGTGAAATGTTATTGTACTTTTGTTTACTGGTTAATGATCTTTGAGGTTATAGACCAAGTATGAGTAAGATAGGGCACTTAAAGCACCTGTTAGAGAAGAGCTTGAGATAGCTTCTCAATCCCATCCCAACTTATTACTCCGTCATCAGAATCACAATCGTAGCCGGAACACAATTTGCATTCTACGTAGTCGCGTGTCGAGTGTTCCGTGGCGGAAATAACATTGAACCTCTGAATGCACTTGCTCCCATACTATATGATATGATATGATGCGTTGTGGGAATGAGAACCGGTTCCCGGGGCAGTTGATTGAACGATCAGGGGATGATTCAGGCCATCAAATGATCAAGTGTGTGGCAGGTTAAGGCCATCCCGTATTTAACCCAATTTTAACACATTGCTATCATTTCTATCTCTTTGCAGACTGAACAAAGCGGCAGCAGGATACACGGATTTCCCAAGCAGGGCGACCAGCGGGAAAAGCTCCGGGGAAAAGAAAAGCGGCCAGCAATCGTTACACTGTTTCGCGCGGCGGGGAATGGTATATTTCTTGGGGGATTGGGGCATGGGAGATTCTGACTTGTCGTCATATCAGCAACATGTTCCAAATATACAGCAGCCGCAACGCATCCATGGACATGATCTACTCTTGCAACAGCAACAGCAGCAGCAGCAGCTCCCGCAACAGCAGCAGCAGCAACGCCAGCAGCAGCAACAACAGCAGCAGCAGCAACTCGTGGCGCAAATCTCCAGTAGCCTAAGCCAGCTGCAGCCGCAGTTGCAGTTGCAGTTTGCCAGTGGATCCAGCTTCCTGCAACAGGGCACAAATCCCTCGCCATCCAACCAGCAGCAACATGTTGGCCCTGTCAGCAGCAGCAGCCTCGTAACTGCCAATCTCCAGCAGCTGTCGGTGAGCAGCAGCAACTCCAGCAGCAGCAGTAGCAACAACAACGCCACCAGTGGCTGCAACACTCCCACCAAGCCGCAACCGCAGCAGCAACAACTACTGCTCCCAGAAGCAGCTGCTCCGGCTGCCAAGTCCTTGAAGAACCCGCAGCTGAGCAAGGATCTCCTGGACAATGAGGATGAGGTGGCATTGCACCCGCTCTCCAACCAGGTGAGTAATTGGATAAGCTGCATTCAGTGTCATGTATCGTCGAATCATTTGTTTCTTAAAGATTTCTTTTGGGGCTCTATAAAATCCGATTTTTTAAGATGTTCTGAAGAATTCGCGGTTCTTTTTTAGGGATAAAATCATCTCCTATAGAATTGGCGACTGTCTTTTGCTCATGAATTAATATGATCGTTGGGTTTTTAGTTTTTATTTGGGTTCTTTTAAGAAATTGATGATTAAAATAACCAATGTCAGCCATATAGAAGTTTATTTAAGCCCTTTAGGCTACCTCTTTTTGATCTCGGAGAGTAGGGCGCTATATAGGGACTGGCAGAACTCCTCGAGACCCGCGTACGCGTTCTTCTCGATGAACGCCTTGACCACAGCCCACACGGACTTGAGGAACTTGACCTGGGCGAAGACTAGGACGTCCGTGTACTCCTCGACGGTGGCCTTCAGGCAGAAGTGGATCAGGACGACGAAGGCGTCCGCGTAGGGGATCTCGGCATTGACGCTCTGCACGTCGATGGAGTACAGCTGACCGGGTTGGCTGCACTCGCGCATCACCTGCGTCTCGGTGACCTTGGCCGTTTTGGGCCCGACGTTCGCCTGGAGTGCCACGGTCACCGTGACGACGCGCTCGTTCTGGCCAGCGGCGTTCCGCTTCCAGCCACCCATGCGCAGATCGGTGGACTTGCGCCGCTCGTGGAAGCTCTGCAGGAACGGCGAGGCGGAGAAGAGCATGTTGAACAGTGCGTCCACTTGCACCATCAGTCGCTCCTGCAGCAACTTGCGGCCCTCGTGCGACGCACTGCACCGGGCGGTCAGCTCGTCCGGGTTCCTGGTTCCTAGCATGATCGGGGCCGTTTTTAGTTGGAGTAATTTCGATGGGCTCGTCTGTATTGAGTTGCGGTCGCTTTTGGCCTTTTTTCCACTCTTACCGGATATCTGCCGGACGTTCTCCCTGCTGGTGATCGCCGTGCCCGCCAGTGAATTGCACTGCGCGTTCTTGGTTTGCAAGTGGCGATGCGATCGGCTTCTATCCGTCTGGGTGAAAGCTGATTGCCTCGGTGATTGGACCGCGGGCTTCTTCTTTCCGCCCGCCGTCAAGTCGACCTTGGAGCGCCCCTTGTCGTCCTTGCCGCCAGTCGAGTTTCGGCGGTTGCCCCAAAAGAAGCGGTGCTTGGTGTCGGCTGAGGTGGGATCCTCGTCCTTAGTCTGTGGACCTCGGCTGCTAGTGGCTGCTTTCCGGCGGGAAGGGGAGCTGCGGCTCATCCGGTTGTTTTTGCTGCTTCCCGCACTGGACGGCTTGTCCATCACCAATAGTTTTCCAAATCGGTGCTTCAGCCGGGCCTTGTGCGACTTCATATTCTCTAGCCAACGTTCAACGTCATCTTCAATTAAAACATTGTCAATGACCCCGTAAAAACGAAACACTCGAATTTTGTCAGTTAGGTTAAGGAACTAAACGGATAACCAGGTCCAAAATGTCATAGGTGTCTGGAGTTCTTTGCTCGAAAGTCTCTCGACAAGCTAGGTATTTTTGGCTTTTTTGATTAGAGCCAAGAAGTGACGTAGGAGACGATAAGATATCAGGCCTATGGCCACGCGCCAGTCATATAATTCTAAAATAGACTAGTTAGATTATCTTTAACATGAAGTGAAATCATAATATAAAATAAAGAACCGCGTTGAATTTTTCGGGGATAAAAGCCAGTCCTAAAGAATTAGCGGTGTACTTTTGAATTATTCAAAACTGTCAAAATTTTTTAAAGAATACGAGGTTTTCTTTTCCAAAAGGAATATAATTGAAATTAACCAATTGAATCCTTTTAAAAACAAAGTCCAGATATTCCTAAGAATTCGCGTTTTTTAAAGGGAAATCTTTTTTTTAAATAAAAAATCGTTTCAAAGCACTGCGGATATGCTAAATAAAAATGGGAATCGTAGAAATGTATAATAGCTTATTTTACCCACTTGAGCTTGAGCTTGTAGAAATCGGATTAGATTTGGCACCATAAAGATAATAACATACCACCATCATTCTTTTATTTGAATCCCAAACTTTTCTTATCAAATGGTAATATATTTTTCCTTATCTTCCAGGTCGGAGGACACACTCGCCTGCTGCTGCTCAACCAGTCGACGGTGATCAAGCCGCTGAACCTGCGCGAATTGGACTTCTACCAGAACATTCCGCAGGACATACTGAAGTTTGTGCCCAAGTACAAAGGTAAGATACCGACTGTTTCACCACCCGCATCAAAAACTGATCACACGTTTAAATACCAATTATCGATTCTGTCGAAGCGCTTCATTTGCTCTTTCGTTTCGAATTAACTAATTCATACAAAAAAAAAGAAAAATATATATATAACATTCTGAATCGCGCCAAGCATTTGTCATGTGTCTTGAGTTCCGAAATCGCCAATTTTTTATTGAATCGAACTTTTGTTTTTGTACTAACTCGCAACAAACAAAATGATAAAGCCAAACAACCAACCAATTTGCGTTTGCTCCTCTTGTATCGTCCCTAGATCAAACCAATCGCATTCGAATATCATTTTATTTATAGTACTTTTTTTGCTCTACTATATATCTAAAAAAATGTGATATCCTTAGTCTGTAAGTTGATTATTGAAATGGAAATAAAACCGATCTTAAAAAAAGAAAATAAAAAAAAGAAAGAAAGAAAAACAAACAAAAATAAGAAAAGAAGTGACGTAAAAAGACTGAACCATATACAATAATATGTAGCTTTAACGATTTGTAAAACAAAAGCGAAGATCGAAAATAAAAGAACCAAAAACGTTATAGCCGCCACGTGCCACAAACATTCTCTGACTCGACGACGCCTGGAACTAGTCACTAGTCCGGGTCCCTGGCTCAGAGACCTTTTCCGATTAAACCCCCTTAGTTAGTAGAACAGACAACAATGGGTAAGTCGCAAACCAAACAAAAGAAATCAACCAAACTCCAACCCAAAAGTAAAGTAAAGTAACTCTGATAAATGATAAATCCCCCGCCATAAGGATTGTACAGTTTTTGCCAGCAAAAATTGTACAATCGCTTGACTGGAAATGGAACACTTTAAACCCACATGATGCACTCCCTCGATTCGGCGCATGTATATATACAGAGATTATGATTGCCCGGATCGGGGGGCGTGTCCCCGCCACTACATGTACGTCTATGCTCGTATTATCCAAAGGTTCGAGGTGCCTGCCTGACCTGACAGACCCGATCGAGATCTGCCGCCGTACCAAGCAAACCTCACCGAACCGAACTGAAATGATCCGAACCGGAGCCTCCTCTAACTATCGGGATCGATCGATAACCGGGAAAAAGGGAAAGCGTAATGCCGAACCGAATCTGAGTGTAAAGAATTCTTTTTTTTCCGCAATGCAACAACGAAAATCGAGTTTTATTTTATGTGTTTGTTCAGAACGCACATCGTGCCGCCCTCCTCCCCTCAAACGTTGTGTTGTGTTGTGTAGTCATCGTCGCCGTCTCCGCTCCGCTCGTCTCATCTCGATATCGATCCCGATCCCTAGCGATCCTAAGCGATCGGTTCCGCCCTGCTCTCTCTGTCGGTTAGAATGCAGGCGAGCCAAGTCGAATGGGTTTGTATGATTAAACACATCTATCTATCTATATTTTACATATGTTAATTTACCAATATACCATACAAATACGATACGATAGTTAAGATTACCCAGTTTACAGTACGTTAAGTTAAGTTGAGGAAAATCGAAACATCCCAGTGAGATAATCTGACAGTTCTTGTATCCCATGTTTCCACTTTCTTTTGCACTTGTTACTGCGTCGGTTCTATCTGTCTATTGATCTGTTTTGCACCAACCTAGCTTAGGAATAGGAATAGTTAATACTTCTATTTAAACGCATAAACATTTGGAAGCCATCTGATTCCGTCTGATGTTGGAACTGCATGAAGCACTTGTCGAAAACTCATTGCACTAAAAAAGAAATTGTTGAACCCTCTGATCAGTTGATCAAAGAACCATATTCTGGCCTTGATCACCTGACCAGAGTTCCATTGCCATCTTCCATGAGAGTTATCGTGTTTGTCTGTTCTGAAAAGCATTTCGTGTGTCTGCTAACCAAAACTCGGGAACCGCTGCCTCAGCCTCCATTGCCACATCTTAATAATCCTCCTAACCCATTAAACCCCGTGTCGATTCGATGCTAAACTACAAAAAGAAAACTACAACCAGATGAGAAATACTTGCTCGCTCGCAGTTTAGTAATCCCTTTCCCCGGCTCGTCTCTGTGTCCATTCCAGGCGTCATGCAGGCCACCACCATGGGCGGAGTGAAGCTGGACAAGCGCTACTCGCCCAGTTTCCGGGATGAGGCCGCCGCCGTTCCCGTCCGCAAGATGAGCGCCTCCAAGAGGAAACGTGACGAGGTGCTGAGGTGGGTACACTAAACGAAAATGAACCCTGAACCTGGACTAATTTTTGATTTTGTTTGCAGAATGAAGGTGCACAAAAATGGACAGGCAGCTGAGGTGATCAAAAGCATCTCTCAACTGGACAACACCAATAAGCAATGTAAGTTACTCACCCACCGAAACGTAAAGCGAACTGTTTTCCCAGAAAACCGATTATTTAAATGGTTACTCCCCTCGTGAGGTTTTTGTTTTCCCAAAAAAATAGTAAAAGCTTGTTGGAAATGTAAATTATTATCTGTTAAGCTACCATAAATAATTTTTTAAATGACCCAAATTATAGGCTTTCAACAAAAAGTGCACATGTAGACAATGGGATCTTCAATCTAATTATCGAATTCTTTAGAACTATTAATGACGTTACTTACTTTGAAAATTGGTAAATTATATTTTTAAATGTAAACAATTGTATTGAAAAAAAAAAACCTTGTCATAATCATATTTTGCTCAAATACTATAAGATCTTAAATCATAAAATTGTATTTTTAATTTATAAGAAATATTTTTTTTTAGGACAGGATTTCTTAGAAATACTTTTTCTTGTAGATATGTATCTAAATCTTAAAGTAATCTTATTTTTCTACCTTCCCTTGCAGACTTCCTTATGCTCGAGAACATCACCTCGCAGTTCCGGAATCCCTGCATCCTGGACCTGAAGATGGGCACCCGTCAGCATGGCGACGATGCCTCGGCGGAGAAGCGCTCCAAGCAGATGGCCAAGTGCGCAGCCAGCACCTCGGGATCGTTAGGTGTTCGCCTGTGCGGAATGCAGACCTACCTGGCCGATCTGGAGCAGTATGCCAAGCGGGACAAGTACTGGGGTCGTGAGCTGAACGAGGGCGGTTTCAAGACGGCTCTGCACGACTTCTTCCACAACGGCTACCGCCTGCGAATTCGCGTCATCCGCAAGATTCTGCAGCGCCTGCTGCAGTTGCGCCGGGTGATTGAGAAGCAGTCGAGCTATAGATTCTACTCCTGGTGAGTCAGGGGACAATAAATAGTTTCCCTAACTAGCTGATTCACCAATGTAGAATACAATACTAATGAGTTATTTATCATTTACAGCTCACTGCTCATTGTTTACGAGGGCTTCGAGGAGAATCCTATGGCCTACCCGCCCTCCATGGGCGTGGACGAGTGGCCGGAGGCACCCAGGTCGGCCACCGTGCCCGGCACCGTCTTCGACTACCATCCGGAGAACAGCATAGACGAGGACGATCTGGAGGACGAGGACGAGGCGGGACACGAGGCTGGCGACGAGCTGGAGGGGCACGACACCGACGAGGATCTGCATCTGGTGGCGGCCGACAGCGGCAACGCCTCGGCCACCAACAGCAGCACAGGGGGCGATGCCTGCAACTACGATGCGGATGCCTCCAACGATTCCAGCTCATTGCTCAACCTGGCCACCAGGCGTCACCTGCACAAGCGTGGATTTGCCGAGGCAGCGGCGCGGGGCGTCAAGCAGACGGCTGCCAACAACACCACCACCGACGAGGAGGAGGAGGAAGAGCATCCGGCTGCCATGCCGCCGCCAAGGAGTTGCGGTGTCATGGCCGCCAAAGCAGCAGCGGCTGCGGCTGCAGCTGGCCTGGCCGGCAAGGGCCAGGGCGCATTCATTCCAATCTCTGAAGAGACAGTATTCCTGGACCCCGAGCCAGCGCTCCCCAGCGTGACGACCTCATCGCCACATTCCGGTGACTCGTGGATGAACTACAGCAGCAACAGCAGCGACGACTTCTCCGGATTGTCGGAGCAAATCAAGGCTGTGGCCAGCGGGCGGCAGACATGTAAGAAAGTTTTTAGTTCATAAAATGCCAAGATTGTAAAACCATTTCCCCTTATTTGCAGGCAACAACAGCAGTGATGACGCCAGTTCAGATTACGAGAGCAGCATC